TCTTTCCCTTTCTAGGTGTCCGAATCCATCAGCCTCTGACACTTCCACATACATGAAGAATCTGATGCTGGGGAGAGAGGGAGATGATGAAGGATATGGGGCACAGTGAGAAGAGGAGGTGCAGGACATGCCGAGAATTTCAGCCATCTTCACGCTTTGGCTCAGTGCTCCCTACCCACCCACCCACTTGCCATATACTCAAGGAAGGAGAGGGAAAGAAGGCAGCGGAGGGAGGGAATCCTACCTGTGACAAAGAGCAAGATGAGCAGCCCAAGAGGCTCCATGTCACCCTTCCCTTGTGGAGGACAGACGCAGGGTGCCTTGTGCAAGATCTCGTCTTTCCCTTGAAATGCAGAAAGGAGAGGGTCAGGCTCGTCAGGCGCTACCCACAGGAACCGGCTCCTGGAGGTTGAGTAATCATCAGGACTGGGATCTGGCTTTATGATTCAAGGAGGGGGAGTGGGGTGGGGGAGGAGGGGGGAGGAGGAGCCACCACTGCAGCCCAGCAGTGCGGTGCTGAGGATCCCAGACCTCCAAGAGGACAGCCCACTGTCCTGCCTGCACCAGCCTTCTCAGTGGTTTAGAAGACTACCCTTTCTCCGTTCAATTGCCTTAGTATCTTTACTGAAAATCCCTTGACATGTAGGTCTACTTCTTGACTGTCTACTCTGTTCCATTGATCTATGTGTCTATCCTTTTACCAATATCACCCCATCTTGACTACTCTCTGTAGCTTTATAACAAGTCTTGAAATCAGGTGATTGAGTAATCCAGCTACATTGTTCCTTTCCAAAATGGTTTTAGCTGTTCTAGTAACTTTACTATGTAAATTTTAGACACTGTATGTCAATTTCTCCCCCCTACACTCTCCCCAAAGCCTGCTAGGCTTTAGATGGGATTACACTGAATCTATAGCTCCATTTGGAGGGAACTAGACATCTTAACACTATTGAGTCTTCCAATCCGTGGACATATTTCTTCTATGGTTTCTCTCACCAACGTTCTATAGTTTTCAGCATACAAATGTTGCACATATTTTGTTAAATTTCTATCTAAGTATTTCATGATTTTGGTGCTATTTTAAATATTTCTAGCTTTCTGTATCTTAGGCAGAAGCAGAACTCAGAAATCCCGTGGATCTTTATCTTACTTTCTGTCCCACTTATGCTCCATTCTGACCTCTTCTTCTCACATCCTTCCTACCTGAGAAAAGCGTATTTTTTTATTCCTCTAAGCCTCATAGCAAAGCGCAGGCACCAAGAAGTCTTTGCCAATTCATGCATATGAATTCACAGCATGTGCACATCAAACTCTCTCTTCTCTTAGCTTGTGCTAATCTGTAGTTCAATCCCCTAATTCTCATGTCTGAGCATAGGAACATTTCTGCACCACCCCACTCCCAAGCACAGGGTCCTTCCTTTCCTTTTGCTAAATCTGAGTTCAACGATACCTGCCACTTCACACTTGGGCACAGTGGCACAGAGATCTTTTCCCCTCTTATTACATCCTTCCAGCTGAATGCCATCATTCACGGATGCATGCATTTATTCAACTACCACGTATGTGCTGGAGAACTCAGGTCTCTTGGAGCCTCAGTGTTCCTGGATACAGTGGTGACCGTTGCTGAGGGAAGCCCTAGAACCAGAGGCATGACTGGACACATGACATACTCCTGATGTCTAACTTTGGCTAAGACTTTACAGCTGCTGGGTAATCCTTTTCAGAATGTCTGGAAGTTTCCTAGTAAACTGCCTATAGCAGCTCTTCCAAATCATCACTATCCTCAAATACACAGCTCTACTCCCCCTCCTTCCCTAGAAATAAATCAAGATCAACATATGTGAACATCCTCACCCTCTTTCAGACTCTGTTATCCTCCCATCCCCACTCTCGCCAACCTGGGCGGCCAGAGAAGTACAAGAGTCCGGTCAGGACCATGGCCAGCACCCAGACAGGCCCTGGGATGGGAAAGGGTGTGGCTGCCAACAACTGGCAGGGAAATAAGCCTCTCAAAACTGAAACAACTCAGACTCTATCCAGGCACACCATCAGCCCAACCTGGGAAATCCCCTGCCCAGCCCTGCCTGAGAAGTGGGCTTGAGAGAGTGACTTTTGGTACCCACTCCACCCTTAGCTGGGACCACCAACCACAAACATTAGAGCCTACAAACATCGTCTGCTGCTAAGCAGCCACTTAAGATTTCCTTTTCCCACTTCCCTCTTTGGTCCCGTCCTGCTTTTGCTTGATCTCATTTTCCTGGATCCAAACCCCTGCCTTCCACCCCCAAAGTCTCTCTCACTTCTGATGCCTCACAGACTTGACCTGCTCACACCTCTGTCTTTGTATTTGCAGTGTCACTCTCTGCCACTTCCAGCTGAGGCCATTCTCCCATTATTAACATCTCATATTTTCTAAGCTAAAGATCTCAACCTCTGTCCAGGGGCCATAGTGAGGCAGGATGTCCAGCCAAAGGGAAGATCCGGTGTTCTCAACACCGGAGCTTAGAAGAAGGGACCCAGGCACTGAACCTGGTGAAAGGCATCATAGGTGTGGGGAATCTCCCCTGCCACTTGATTGGATCAGGAGTGATCCAGATCTGGCAGGGGCAGGGGAAGATGTCTAGCCTGAGCATGGGGCAGAGTGTAGGATTGGTAGGCTGAGTGGGACAGAAATTGAAACTACAGAGTAGGGGTTAAGCACACAGGCTCTGCTTCTTACGGTGAGTAAGCCCAGCTCTGTTATTTACTAGCTATTGGGCAGGTTTCCTAACTCTCCAGTTGGCTTCACTGTCTGGGTATGTTAATGTGTATGGCACATTGTCAAGTGCTCAAAAAAAAGTAGCTGGCATTATTTTCCTCTTCAGTATATTCTCTAAATTCTTTCTTTCTTCCTCCTGTCTATGTCCATCCCAGATTTCCATTTTCCTTTTCGAAGATGACTGCGCTCTCTCTCTCTCTCTCTTTCTCTCTCTCTCTCTCTCCTCTTTCTCTCTTTCAGTCTTTCTCTCCCCCCTCCCTGAATTTGACAATCCCCAGAAACTTACTTTCTCACCTATGTCCCCTCTCTTCCAGTATCTTTAAGTTCTACCGCCCTCCCACCCCCAGAGCCATTTTTTCCTCCGTGTACACATGGGCACAGTCTCACCTGTCCTGAAAACCCCTCATTTGTCTCTGCTGCCCCTTCAATTGGTGTTCTTTTATTATCTTGTATTTCTTTTTGTTTTTTAGAATTTTAGAATTTTATTTTATTTATTTTTGTACAGTAGGTTCTTATTAGTCATCCACTTTATACACATCAGTGTATACATGTCAATTCCAATCTCCCAGTTCATCACACCACCACCCCCCGCCGCTTCCCCGCCTTAGTGTCCATACGTTTGTTCTCTACATCTGTGTCTCTATTTCTGCCCTGCAAACCAGTTTATCTGTACCATTTTTCTAGTTTCCACATATAGGGAATTTGTTTTTCTCTTTCTGACTTACTTCACTCTGTATGACAGTCTCTGGATCCATCCATGTCTCCACAAATGACCCAGTTTTGTTCCTTCTTATGGCTGAGTAATATTCCATCGTATATATGTACCACATCTTCTTTATCCATTCGCCTGTCGATAGGCATTTAGGTGGCTTCCATGACCTGGCTATTGTAAATAGTGCTGCAGTGGACACTGAGGTGCATGTGTCTTTTTGAATTATGGTTTTCTCTGGGTATATGCCCAGTAGTGGGATTGCTGGGTCATATGGTAATTCTATTTTTAGTTTTTTAAGGAACCTCCTTACTGTTCTCCATAGTGGCTGTATCAATTTACATTCCTACCAACAGTGCAAGAGGATTCCCTTTTCTCCACACTCTCTCCAGCATTTGTTGTTTGTAGATTTTCTGATGATGCCCATTCTAACTGGTGTGAGGTGATACCTCATTGTAGTTTTGATTTGCATTTCTCTAATAATTAGTGATGTTGAGCAGCTTTTCATTTGCTTCTTGGCCATCTGTATGTCTTCTTTGGAGAAATGTCTATTTAGGTCTTCCACCCATTTTTTGACTGGGTTGTTTGTTTTTTGATATTGAGCTCCATGAACTGCTTGTATATTTTGGAGATTAATCCTTTGTCCGTTGCTTCATTTGCAAATATTTTCTCCCATTCTGAGGGTTGTCTTTTTGTCTTGTTTATGGTTTCCTTTGCTGTGCAAAAGCTTTTAAGGTTTATTAGGTCCCATTCGTTTATTTTTGTTTTTATTTCCATTACTCTAGAAAGTGGATCCAAAAAAATCTTGCTGTGATTTATGTCAAGGAGTGTTCTTCCTATGTTTTCCTCTAAGAGTTTTATAGTGTCCGGTCTTACATTTAGGTCTCTAATCCATTTGGAGTTTATTTTTGTGTATGATGTTAGGGCGTGTTCTGATTTCATTCTTTTACATGTAGCTGTCCAGTTTTCCCGGCACCACTTATTGAAGAGACTGTGTTTTCTCCATTGTATATCCTTGCCTCTTTTGTCATAGATTAGTTGACCATAGGTGCGTGGGTTTATCTCTGGGCTTTCTATCCTGTTCCATTGATATATATCTCTGTTTTTGTGCCAGTAGCATATTGTCTTATTACTGTAGTTCTGTAGTATAGTCTGAAGTCAGGGAGTCTGATTCCTCCAGCTCCGTTTTTTTTTTCCTCAAAACTGCTTTGGCTATTTGGGATCTTTTGTGTCTCCATACAAATTTTAAGACTTTTTGTTCGAGTTCTGTAAAAAATGCCGTTGGTAATTTGATAGGGATTGCAATGAATCTATAGATTGCTTTGGGTAGTATAGTCATTTTCACAATATTGATTCTTCCAATCCAAGAACATGGTATATCTCTCCATCTGTTGGTATCATCTTTAATTTCTTTCATCAGTGTCTTATAGTTTTCTGCATACAGGTCTTTGGTCTCCCTAGGTAGGTTTATTCCTAGGTATTTTATTCTTTTTGTTGCAATGGTAAATGGGAGTGTTTCCTTAATTTCTCTTTCAGATTTTTCATCATTAGTTTATAGGAATGCAAGAGATTTCTGTGCATTAATTTTGTATCCTGCAACTTTACCAGATTCATTGATTAGCTTTAGTAGTTTTCTGCTGGCATCTTTAGGATTCTCTATGTATAGAATCATGTCATCTGCAAACAGTGACAGTTTTATTTCTTCTTTTCCAATTTGTATTCCTTTTATTTCTTTTTCTTCTCTGATTGCCGTGACTAAAACTTCCAGAACTATGTTGAGTAATAGTGGAGAGAGTGGACATCCTTGTCTTGTTCCTGATCTTAGAGGAAATACTTTCAGTTTTTCACCATTGAGAATGATGTTTTCTGTGGGTTTGTCATATATGGC